AGAGGATTCACACGAGGTCAAAAGCTAGTCCACAAAATTTGGATATAAAGTGCAGCACAGCATAAGGGAACTGCCAAAGGCAACTCTGTTGTTGTGTGTAGTGACTAACCGACAGCAATAATCCTCCTCCAGGCTTCGTTGCAGCTCTAACCCTTCCGAGTGGCCGAAGAAACGGTCCCAGAGCACTCTCATCCCTCTTCCATCACAGAAAACCACGAACCAACGAGACATCTCAAGCCGTGAGTGTGGTGCGTTACTAACACATTCAAAGTTCTTAGAAGCCATCAATTGATCAACAACCGAGCCAGCTCTGCTTTCATCCCTGTTTCAGCAGTTGCAGTAGCAATAGAAGCAAAGCGCCGATCTCCTCCACCCCTAAGGAGAGTGAAGTCAGCATTTTTCCTCTCACTTTTACTCAAATGTACCTCTTTCGGAGCCGGACGTAATACAAAAGAATTTCGGAGAAGTAAAGCACATCAATTATTATCAAGTGATTTATTTACACGGTTGCTGTGTTCTGGGAGGGGAAGGGTTAAACAATACAAAGGCAACAACTGGGTGTCAGAGGGAGACAAGTTGTGGGGGTATGCGACTAGAAGGCGCAGCGAGTGCGCATGTCTTCCAAGCGTTTAGCAATATCGGTAGGGACCTTGTCCATCTCCTCTGCAATGTTTCGTTGCTTCTCTGCGTCCAGAGTGTTAAACATCTCACAGAGGTCTCCGTCGATTACATTCTGAATTAGACAACACGACAGGTAAGTCAAATAAGCCACCACATGCGAACAATAGCGTGGAAATGTTGGAATCATATGCAAAATTTGCCAGTTTTGTGGTATGCTAGGCAAAAATTGCTTCTCCGGCAGGAGACACTTCAGAGGTCCCAGTTCATTAAACTCAAACCCTCTACAGACGTGGAGTGACCCAAAATTTACTTGAGGTTGGAGACAAAAGTCAAAGACGAATGATGCGATACAATCGAAAAGTGCAAAAATTAGAGTAGCCGATCGAGACTAACAGAACATTTAGCTATGTTCGAAACAGCTCACAATCTACGTTTCGCAACTTTCAAAAACCTTTACGGTGTTGATCATTCCTAGCAGCTGACGCCAAAAAGATGCAAATGAAGCTTCAAGAGAGCAAGGTAAGAGCATCAAAATAGATAAATCATAGTTTCGAAAAAGACAATCTTCAAAGGAATACGCAGTAATGTATAAGTGGCCAGGAAGTAAGGAAAGAAAACTGACCTTGCAAGGATAATAGAGCGAACGATAGTGGAGATGGTCGCGACCCACGAGAGAGATATTCTCCGTGCGCATGTGCAGTTCAAGGTGCTGAAAGAAGGAGTAGGCATCCTTGGAAGCAAAGGGAATGAGGATGCCCAGACTGCCTGAGAGCGTAGCGTACACCAGACCTTCCGAACCGCCCGGAATCAAGGTGGCTTTTTGAAGGGACGTCACTACTTCGCCCACGTAGAAGTGGCACACCATCTGGAAAATATCGGAAATGTAAAGCATCAGTATAATAGATTCGTGCCACTGGGCTCCTTTCAACATTCAGCACTAACTTCTGGTTAACATTCATTTTTTGTGTAGACAACCTTAAGAATAATATCCCAAAAATGTCCGTATTACAATGACCTTGTCAGTTAGATGGCAATCTGTTGGTTCCTAATCAGTAATTAATACCATCGTCGATCAAGTGCTCTCAGGAAAGCATTTAGATTTGAGGGAGCTCTACCCTTCAAGCGATAAATCAAAGGAAAATTTCCGATTCCTTCTAGAAATCCAGTAAGCTAGTCGTGATCAAAGTATATAATTTAAAAACCCACCTCAAGTTTTTGGTTAGCACCTCCAAGAGCGTTCCTGTCCCACAATGATCGATTTCCGCTGGGATCCTCCTCCACATTATCATTAACATCAGGTGGTAAGCGAAGGATGATGACATTGCCAAACTTGTCAGCCACCGCAGCAGTGGAGTTGTCTAAGACCGCTAGTTGGGTGATCCACCGCGGACTGGCGTCGTCAGCAAATATCACCATCTGATTGTCTGCTCGTGGCCGATAACGCACCCAGAAAAGACTCTCCTGTACGTCTGTCACGAGAATGCGATGCCCAATGCCGTAAATGCCGTTTATTAGATTTGGAAAGTGCTGCAATTGATGATCAAGAACTAGACTAATACAAGACCACACAAACACGTAGAGACAAGAACACAAATTATTGACTGTGCGGACTAATGAGCGACTCTATACGACGTTAGATCCACCTCTTTATGTTATTACGCGATCGCTTTTGCCCGAATGTTCTCGCGTTATACTGCAGCAAAATGTAAAGACGTCCAAACGGAAACGAGGAGCACCCACACGCAAGAGTATCTGCCTGAGTTTCACGAATTCATTATTGACCACTAACCAGTCAAAAACCTACAATTATAAGCCCATATCAAGGCGTTTACGTCCGCCCACTACATCATCACAGCCCTTAAGAGCATTGAACTTTTTGCTTGCATTATTAATTTTACCTTCCCAATCAAGCGTTAAAATGACAAAGGAGCTAATCCAGTGT